ACTGCTTGACAAATATCGTACAGGTATTTTACTCAACTGTCGGTAAAAATAATTTAAGTGTCGCTAGGCGGTTTAATTGATTGAAATATTGGTTTACACAACCACTGCAAAATCTGCAGCATAAGCGAAGCGTTGACCTCCAATGTCACGTTATTTTAAGAATGATAATATATTATAATCGGTAATATTAACTTTGTTTATACTAACGTCTACTTTATTGTTATTGGGGAATTTCGGCACACTCTTTGAAGTAGGTCCCTAAAACAAATTTTTCTCTACTTATTAGTTAGTGGAAAAATACGCAAATAAAGTTTACTATACGTTATAAAGTATGCATCAAACCGCCAGAACAATACAGATTTTATTTAAATTTTTTTAAGTTACAAAATAAATAACCCTGATGTTTCAAAAATTATATAATAAAAAAATATAAAGATCTGCGTTTGAAATAATTATTATTTTTTATTTTTTCCACTGCCACAATGACCTTTTATATTAAAAAAATATAGAGTCTTTGTGGCAGTGGAAAAAAATATTTTTAGCTACTCATTTTGGACTTAAAATTTGTGTTTTAGTATAACTCAACTTTTTTGACCACAGGCGTTGTTATTTTCCAGAAAAAATTTTGTCGGCCCACCCTAATACTTATACTATTAACCTAAGGAAAAAAAAGTTTAAAACATTTGCATTTATGTACGCAAAATAGAATTTAGGTCAAATTAAATGGCAAAAATATATTCGGAAAGCTGGTTATAAAACAGAACTTTTTAAAAAAGAAAAAAGGTTCTACTGCCTCTAGGAGCCAAGATATCCCCATTTTTTTTTAACCACATTAAGCGATGAAATTGACGAATCTTTTAACAAAACTCGACAGTTTTTAACAAAACTTTTAGCAAACAAAATTGTTTAAACAGGGGTGTTGCAAACAAAGAGACTTTACATTTCGACTATAGTAAAAGGAGTGACGGTAGCCACTGAAGGATCAGCGGCGCTCTTCAAAAAATCCAACACAGTTTCAAAATAGAGCGCTCAAAAAAAAATGACATATCTCGGGCTCTACTGCACCAAACTTGCATGTTTTTTTTTAAACTGGGATGCCACGTTAAACATTTATATTATTTTCATTACACAAAATTATCCAAAACAAAGCAGTTAATGACTACGGGAAGTTCAAATCTCTTCTTAAGTCGCCTTTTTATTATTTTTTTTAATCTTTGTAACTTGGTATATTTAAAAACCCTTAAAAGGGCTACATTAAAAAACGCAAACATTTTCGGAATGACAATTCCATCATCAGGTTTAAAAAACACTAGGTTTACATGCCTGAGCCACCAAAATATTTGGGTAAAAACCCTTTAAAATAAATTTAGTTATAACAACATTTATAAAATGTTGTACATAATGTTGTTTTAAATGTGTGATGTTTGATATTAGATTAGATATGGCTTCATGTAACATACACCCATGGTTTGAGTGAGTTCCAGTGTCCTGTCCACTAGTTACCAGCTGTAGTCCATCTGAAGAGGTTTAGTCTCCGGACACTGGAACTCACTCAAACCATGGATGTATGTTACCTGAAGTCATATCTAATCTAATATCAAACATCACACATTTAAAACAACATTATGTACAACATTTTATAACTAAATTTATTTTAAAGGGTTTTTGTGTTTTAAAAACCTAGTGTTTTTTAACCTGATGATGGAATTGTCATTCCGAAAACGTTTGTGTTTTTTAATGTAGCCCATTTAAGGGTTTTTAAATATACCAAGTTACAAAGATTAACCTCTTTTTTTGTGATACGTGGTATACAGCCACCTGCAGGAATTTTTTCCTTGTGGATTTTATTTTTTTTATTTATTTGTTTAAATATAATTACTTATATTAAATATATAGTATGCATACAGAGTGATTGATTAGTGTGAGGAAGCTCAGTAGATCTGTTATAGTAAAAATTACAAAAAAAAGTTATTAACAAAAATTGTAGGCAGCTTTAAACTCCATATTTTAAAATTAGTTACAATCCTACAGGGTGTTCCATAAGATGGTGGCAGACCAAACTTATGTTTTTTTAAATGAAACACCCTGTATTTTATTTTAAATTTGAAATCTGCTTCACTTCCACATTACAACAATGTAAAGTTTTATTATGTTATACCGGGTATTTAAAAAGTTATAACCAATATTACCTGAAAATCGTATCAAGTTTAACTCCCTGTATAATTAAAAAGGATTGTAGGAACATTGATCTATTGCAACCATAGTTTTTTAATAATTGTTAAAAACTATAAAACATATTCATTTTCATAATATTCGTTAAATCAAATACAGGGTAAGTCAAAATGCAAGTACATTATTTTCTTGGTAATTTTAAATAGAACACCCTGTATTTTATATCACTATCGAAAAGAACTAATATCGTACTTCATATTTTATGAAGTACTCCCTATACCTAAAGTTATTAGTTTTAAAGATATTTTTATTTTTCCATCAAAGTATTAATTTGGTAGATATTTTAACGTTTACCAATAATTATTGTGAGTTGGCCATGATTGATTTGTCAGAAACTGACAGTTTGACATTAATATTTATTAATTCAGTATTGGGGTACACCGTAAATTAGCAACAATTATTATTTAGTAATTCAGTAATTGATTCAATTTAAATTAGCAATAATGAATTTTACTACTGATGAAATGGTAGATATGATCTGGATATTGGGGGAATGCAATAAAAATTCATTACTATCAGCTAGAATTTATCAAGAACGGTTTCCAGATAGGCGACAACCTAGACAAGATACATTTGAAAAATTGAAAGATCGATTTAACCGCACTGGTTCAGTGAATTATGAAAAACATGAACGAACAAAAACTAGTGTGACAGAGGAAAACGAAATGAGTGTGTTGATGGCGGTTACAGAAAACCCACACACAAGCATAAGGACTATTTCCAATGAACAAGAACTTAGTTACTACTCTGTTCAAAACATTCTATCTAAAAACAAGATGCACCCTTATCATATTCAAAAGCACCAAGAATTAATTAATGATGATTTTCAGAAACGAATAGTATTTTGTGAATGGGCCTTAGAAAAAATTAATGAGCAGAGAGATTTTTTTGATTATGTCCTATTTGGTGATGAAGCTACATTCCATCGAAACGGTTCTTTTAATAGGCATAACTTTCACTACTACTCAACAAGTAATCCATACCACATAGTAACACATAGTCAAACAAGATGGTCTCTAAATGTGTGGGGAGGTATCGTCGGTAACCATGTAGTAGGACCATATTTTTTTGAAGATAATTTAAATGGTGAGATTTATTTAGATTTTATCGTAAATCAGTTACCGATATTATTAGAAGAGGTTCCACTTAATATACGTGAAAAAATGTGGTTTCTACATGACGGTGCTCCTGCGCACCACAACGAATTAGTACGTGGTGAACTTAATAATCAGTTTGGGGAAAGATGGATCGGAAGGGATGGACCGGTAAGGTGGCCCCCAAGGTCACCAGAATTCAATAAAATGGACTCATTTTTTTGGGGTTACGTTAAGAACGAAGTATATAAAATACCCCCAACAACAAGGGATGATATGAAAAATAGAATCCGAATTGCATTTCAAAATATTTCTTTACAAATGCTTAGTAATGTAACCAACTCTTTCAATGACCGTTTTCAAGCATGCATAGATGTTTTGGGAGGTCATTTTGAACACCTTACTTAAGTAAGATAAGTTAAACTTACTGTTGTTTTTAATTTTTCTATGTGTTGTTATATTTTTTTTTATTTTCCGTCGGTTATTTTTTATAAATTTTATTTTAAATAAATTGTTTTCTTTTCTGTGTCGTTATTTCGTTACTAAATTATTAAACAATAATGTCAAACTGTCAGTTTTTGACAAATCAATCATAACCAACTCACAATAATTATATTGTGAGTTGGTAAACGTTAAAATATCTACCAAATTAATACTTTGATGGAAAAACAATAATATCTAGAAAACTGATAACTTTAGGTATAGGGAGTACTTTATAAAATTTGAAGTACGATATTATTACTTTTTGATAGTGATATAAAATACAGGGTGTTCTATTTAAAATTACCAAGAAAATAATGTATTTGCATTTTGACTTACCCTGTATTTGATTTAACGAATATTATGGAAACGAATATGTTTTATAATTTTTAACAATTATTTAAAAACTATGGTTGCAATAGATCAATGTTCCTATACTCCTTTTTAATTGCACAGGGAGTTAAACTTGATACGATTTTCAGGTAATATTGGTTATAACTTTTTAGATACCCGGTATAACATAATAAAACTTTACATTGTTGTGATGTGGAAGTGAAGCCGATTTTAAATTTAAAATAAAATACAGGGTGTTCCATTTAAAAAAACATAAGTTTGGTCTGCCACCATCTTATGGAACACCCTGTAAGATTGTAACTAATTTTAAAATGTGGAGTTTAAAGTTGCCTACAATTTTTGTTAATAACTTTTTTTAGTAATTTTTACTATAACAGATCTACTGAGCTTCCTCACACTAATCAATCACCCTGTATACGTTATAAAATTATTATTTAAAAACAATTTTTCGATATACTCTTATTAAATTATTTTAAAATTATTTTAATATTAAAAAATTATTTTTTAATACTAAACACAAATTAACACAAAATCATAGTCTTTATATTACGTTTCTAATCGTCTTTTTAGGCGTAAACCGCTCGCCTAAATCCATTCGAAATGTTTTACTTTTTACTGGTCAAAATGGTTTAACTAATTTACAATAGTCCGCGGAACCCACTTCAGGAAATATAAGAGGTTTTGGTTATCGAAGTCCATAAAACTCAAAAAATTTGTCAGGTACCCTTCCGGGTCAAAGTCCCCAGTAGAGAACTTTTTTAGCTTATTTCTCTGGACTAAATGTATAAATTTGCATATATGTTCGAGTTTGACATTAATAACATGGATCAAAGTACTTACTGCGTTGGAAAATGATGTATGTACTTCTGGCAGGATCTGCCGCATCCAGGACAATACCAGTAGCTGAGTACCCCTATGGAAGCAGCAAATAACAGGTTAGGAATGGCGATAGAGAGTACCAAGTGGCGCAGAGTATCATCCCATGAATATCTCGCAACGACCTGCATTTCGGGATAAACTCTGCTGTAGTAACATGGAAAGGGAGTACCGGCAGTTTTGTATCCATACTGATGGGCAAACTCAGAGCAGTTGACAGATGGAGGGTAACCGCAACCCTCTGTATTGATTAAAAATCTAGTATCCGCTACGTCCCATTGTATTATCCCCATCATCTCACTTTGGTATTTTAGAAAAGGTATTTTTGAGTAATTGACGTAGATTTGATGACATTTAGTAGCTTCGCGTGTGCAGCCTTCACGACATGACGACCAGGAACAGTTCGATATCCCTTCAGCGTAAATATGCTGAGTAGCTATACACGTCACAGGCTCTGGTTCATAATCAGCTAGAAGACTTGTAATAGCCGGGTCAACTACAAACGGTATCAAAAATAAGAAAGCGAATACCGAGAGAATAGCTGTGGTTCCGAGACATAATGACGTATAAAATTTGGCGCTTTCCACGATTGAAATAAGAGTGAGTTGGTTTTTTTCTGTTGTGATGCTCATAATTACAAGTTTTCGAGTATTCAATAAATAGCTGTGCTAAAATCCAAAAAATACGCTTTCCCCTACGAGATGGTTTCGAAGTTTAATGAAGCGTTTCAGTCTCGGTCCAATAGAAGGGGAATGCCTGAAACATATAAGGTATTTTAAACAACAATAAAAATAATCAACATTAATGATCATTATGTAAACTATAAACATGATAATTATCGAAGACTAAAGAAACGTTTTTGAACAATGTGTGTTCCTATTGATGACTTACGGTGTAGAAACTGTTACCAAAAGATCGGTGGAAAAAATCAGAGTGGACCAGCGAACGCTTCAAATATAATTCTGATCTGAAGAGATGGCATCACAATGATCCTAGGTGGATTAAACGCATAAAGGAGTTACTTCCTAGATCTCAGGAATATGAATTTATATGGCACAAGACGTAGATTACTGGAGTCCGTATTGTTACCTACACTTCTCTTTGTCACTAGCATTATTTTATCTATTTTATTACAAAACTATTTGATTTTTGACTTCACAGGTCGCCTAAATTTGGATTATTTTTAGGTTTCTATGAGTTATTCGTAATTTCAGTAGTGCTTTTTTTTTTCAAATGACTTTTCGATGACCTGGACCCGGAGTAGTACAAGTAACTTTCATTTGATTTTTGTTTTCCTGAGCCAGTCCATCTTACCTCGCTCAGCCTAATCTTCATTCTGTTCATCTAAGCGATTGCTAGTTTTCGTGAAATGCAAAAACGGTGAACGTTCTGGTGGCAAGGTGGTGTTTTGTCATATAAATGTTATGTTTGCGTCCTAAATTCTCAATAGTAGGCGACAGGGGTATTCTTCAAGCCCCTCATCATTTAAGGAGTGCTCCCGACTGAAGGGTAATGTTCTTGTTTTAGACTGCCATTTATATTTTTTGAAAGAGTACTTACAGTAAGAGTTTTGTGTACCACAGTAGGAGAAGCGTTTTGCCATTTCGGTTACGTACTGTATCGTTTCAATGTCAATTTATTATGCAAGGAAAGGTATAAGATAGTATTGGAAGGAAAATAATGCCTTGATAGACCGATCAAGTTTGTAAAAAATAAAGCTTTTTTCGTCACAACTGTATAGACAGGTTTGACAGTTGAAATATGTAATAGATATTACAAAAATACTGTCAACTAGGGATTCATCAATGTTTTAGTGAAAATATTTTTAAATAAACAATCAAACTCATTATTTTGCTCATAACTTAAAAACTTGTCTATTTAGAGATTTGACAACAGATAACTTTTTCAGAAAAGACACTTGAATCATTCCGTGTATTATGAGTCTCAAAATTTCATATTTTGGTCCCCTCATCACGTGGCCTAGATATTCCAGTTTTCTGGTTTGTATAGTGGTGATTAGTTCTGTTTCTTTACCAACCCTCTCCAGTACTTCTTTATTTGTAATTCTATCAGTCCATGATATTTTTAATACTCTCAGAGTTCGTTAAGAAAGCCTCGATTCTTTTTAAATTGTATTTTTTTAATGTCGAAGTCTCAGATCCATATAATAATATTGAAAATATATAACAGCCAATGGTACGTAGTCTGATCTCCAAATTTAGATTTTTGCATATCAGTAGTGGCTTCATTCGTATAAATGCTGATGCTGCTGGCAATCTCTATTCGCCTGTTTATTTCTACAGTAGGATCACTGGTTTCAAGTACTGATATTTTTCTACTTGTTCTATCACGTTACCATTGATTGTCAATAGGTGATGTATATTTTGTGGTCTTTTTCTAATTAACATGTACTTCGTTTTTTTAGCGTTTATAGTAATTCCCATCTCAGAACTATTCATATTCAAGCTTTCGATAAGATGTAGATCCTCTATACTCGTTGCTATGATCACAGTGTCGTCTGCATATCGTGAGTTGTTAATTAATTTTCGTTAACGGTGACTCCCGCTTCGATATTATTGAGCGTGTTTTGAAAAATTTCTTCAGATAAGTTAAACAAAAGTGGCGATAAAACAATCCTGTCTAACTCTCTCAGTCTTCATTTCTTCTGAGTGCTCATCAATTTGAACTTTGGTTCCAATATAATGTTTGCACTATATTTATGATTTTACTGTCAATGCGTTTGTTCATAAGTATTGACATTAGTTTTTCATGTCTTACTTTATCGAAAGCTTTTTCGTAGTCAACGAAGCACAAGTGTAGATCAATGTTTACATCCCGACATCGCTGAATCAATATGTTGAAGGCAAACTTGGCAGTACTTTTAAAGTATGATTCATGAGGCTTAGTGTTCGATAATCAGAGCACTTTTTGCTGCTTATTTTTTAGGGATGGTTATAAATGCTGACTTCAGCCACTCTTGTGGTATTATTCCTGTATCGTACACCGCGTTGAATAAATCTGCCAATACTTCCAAGTTATCCTCTTCCGCTAATTTTAACAGTTCTACTGGTATTTCACTTAATCCAGCTGCCTTATTGTCTTTAGAGTTTTTGATAGCATATTTGATTTCATCTATCGTGATCTTCTGTCTCTCTAAAGGATTTAATTCTTGTGTTTTCTGCATTTCACCTCTTTTATCTTGGAAAAGTTCTCTAACGTACTCCTCCCATCGTCTTAATTTCTCTGGTCTATTAGTAGTACTCCTTTTTTGTCTTTTATGTGTCCTTGCTGTCTATTTCGACCCATTCCAGTCACTTCTCTTATTTTTTTGTGCATATTTCTCATATCATATTTTGTTTCTAGTTCTTCTATCTCTTTACATTGTTTCATCAAATAGATTTCCTTAGCTGTTTTGATTTTTTCCTTAATTATTCGTTGTATTTCTTTATACTTCTGTAGATCTTTTCCTTTATATTTCCTTCTTTCTTCCATCTGTAATAGTATTTCTTCTGTCATCCACTGTTTTTTAGCCTCTGACCTATGTTGTATCAAACTTTCTTGAGCTGGTTTCAGTAATGTTTTTTATATTATACTACTTTTTATTTACATCCATAATTTGTTTGTTGTCAGTTAGTGTTTTTTGCATATTAACATTCACATTATTTTTTAATTCGTTTTTTATTCCTTCGTTTTGTAGCATTCTTTCATTAATTTTTGGTTGTTGTTTTCTGAGTTCAATTCGGATTGTGGTCTGAGTTAACATCTGTTCCAGTATAAGTTTTAACTGAGGTTATAATATAAGTTTTTATATCTGCTATTTACGAGTATAAAGTCTATCTGGTTTCTGATAATGTGGTTTTCTGTATGTGAAGGAGACGTTTTTGTTTATTATGCTATCTTAATTTAGCACATGTCAGACAAGTTTTTAAGTTATGGGCAAAATAATGAGTTTGACGTTTTGATTATTAATTTATAAATAGTTCTACTAAAAAATTCATGAATCCCTAGATGAGAGTGTTTTCTAATATCTTATACATACTACACATTTTAACTGCCAAACTTAATTGGTCTATTGAAAGGAAAATATAGAAATTTTATAAGAGACAAGACAAACACGTAAGAATAATTATGTTCACGATAACTGTAAGCCAAAAAAGAGAATATCGCTGAACAGATAAAAATAACAAAGAGCAGGAAAGGTAAAATAAATCGTACTTACTTCTAAAGGAAACAATTAAAGAAAATGCGTTGTCATTCAAGGAAGATAATCTATCAAGAGGCACAGAAAACAACAAAATGGACAGGCCCAAAAATAAAATTTAAGAGAGACAATATGTTCTGACAAACGCAAACCAACCTACATAAATTTATTGACAGATCAAGTGTAATAACTTTTTTTTTAATATGAATATAAAATTTGGTAAAACAACATCAAAGATAAGAAAGGAAATACTCACTGATAGGTGACGAAGAACCTAGAAGTCAAGTCGAATTTGGAACGAAGTTTAATATATCAATCAGAATCCAAATGGCGATAAAAGAGGAAAACAAAGACGTAGTAGATGTTGGCTATTTAATAATAGCATATATGAACTAATGAAATCACTCCTAAACGAAGAAATAAGAGACAAAAAACAGCAAGTGTTTTTAATACTATAACACAAAAACTACAATAAAACAATGTTTTAATATTGTTCTGAAGTAAAATTCTAGAGTCACCAAAATAAACTTATTTTAAACTAAAATTATGGCTTATTCCCATTAAAAATAGTAAATTGGACATGTAATGCAAATAAATTATGAACAACGGTCAAAATATATATTAAATTATGTTCAACTGGATAGAAAAATAAAATGTAGATCAGCAATAATATTAAATAGAATCAGAAACAAATTGAAATCATATCAGCAGCCAGGATTCCGAAAAAAATTACGGAACTAACGCCCATTTACAAAGCATGAACACCCTACTAAAAAAATCGTGGAATTATGACAAGCCCCTTGTAAGCGTCTTTATTGATTTTTACAATCCCATCTAAACTGTCCAATACGGTACTGGTAAACACACTCTGCACTGAAAGCACAGTGGAAAAGAAAAGCGGAAAATAGATGGAGATTATGAAACTTACGTTTCGCTGATATATTTTGTTTATTTTAAAAAATCTGGATTTTTAATTCGTCCTTTTAATATGATACAATATTTTTGACTATAAAAAATCAAAATTAAAACAATTGCTGTATATATTGAGTAAACTTGTCATTTTTATATCAAAAATTGGAAAATTAGTTAAGAATTTTAGACAAGCAAATCAATTATTCTACAATGAGAGTCTATTGTGAAATAGATTAGGGTTTGATTATTTGTACAAAAATATGGCTACTGACTAACGATGCCTTTATAAAATGGTGTTGTGGAATTGAATTATGTTAAATAAATTGATTTTTTGTATTTTTTAATAATTTCACTAGATATATATATAAAATAAATTGTTTTCAAACTCAGCACTTCCAAATTTCAAAGCTTCTATTTCGACGATAAATAATTTTTGCAGCAGCATTCTGTATTTTGAAGAACTCTATATGACCACAAACATAAAAATCAAGCGGGTTGTCCTTAGAACGTCTTGGTGGTCATTCAAAATCACTTCTTATTATATAAACCACATTTTTCTTCTTATATCCAGGGACAGATAATCAAAAATGTCAAAAAAAGATTATTTTGCATTTAAATTTGCTAGACCGTAATAGTTGGTCATATAATCAAATATTTAATCTATTTTTGTATTTTCTTCTTTCCAGTAAGGGCTCTTTTGTCAATTCAAAAGTCTTCGTTTGATAAAAAAGCTTCATTGTGTTGAACAAGGTTCTGAGATTCTTTAACTAGGATGTTCTTCCTGCTTTCTAAATATTTTTCCTTGTAGGATGGCTTGTATAAGGGCATATCTGGATTCATTTCGCATAATATGTCAGAAGTATCGTAGCTTTCGAGATTTGATGTGGTCAGTACCACTCGGTTCTTCTTCATTCTTCTGATGACCTCATTTGTGACTCAGCCAATCCATGAGATCTTAAGTGTTCTCCGATATAGACACAAATCAAATGCTTCCAATTTTCTGCGCATATCTTCGTTCAAGGTCCACGATTTAACACCATAAAAAAGGTCAAAGAAGGTTGATTCTCTGAAGAAGGCCCCCATTCGGTTGAAGGTGTATCTAGCTTTTCCGATGCGCGATCCCATATCCTGGTTGTTGGTCCATTATTATGGTGCCGAGGTACCACGCTTTCTGGTACTGAAGGTTGACCTGATATATTTTTCTTGTCAATTATTAGTAAATAATAGTTAAGTATTATCAATGGTCTTAATAGAATATCGATCAGTATAGTGTTAGTTCAGAATACGATGGCAGATTGTCACCAAAAATATAAAATAATATTCCTTGCCAAGTTATGCTTCTGTGCCAAATTGAATAAAAATTTATAAATATACAGTAAAATTATTAAAAAACAGCAAAAAAATATTCAAATTTAATGCCCTGTGTCTTTTTTCATAGCTATATTTTATTAAGGCACGTTTGGTCCAATAGAAATATTTTGATCCAAATAGCCTTACTCTAGAACACTTAAAATAAAATTGCTCCAAAGTTTTATAAACATTTACTGGCTAGCCACTGCGTAAATAAAGAAAAATTGACAGTCGAAGATCACGTTGAACAAATAATCTGAACAGAGTTAAAACAAACTGGATTTAAGCAGCTCAGAACCGAAGAGAGAATGATTATTTTTGAGGGATGCCTATGTTTAACAGTGGACGTAACAGGTTGGATGATAATGATATAATATATAAATTAATGTATGTACATAATAAAGTCTTAAGAGTCAGCATAAAAGGGACAAATATCTCTGAATAAAAAATAAATACTATGTAATAAAAATATTTCAAAGAAAAAAAATTAATACATATGAAGCTTTAATAAAAGTTGTATAGATCTGATAATTGAAAACTAGCAGGTGTATAAAAAGATTAGAAGTTTTTGAATTGAACGCAATCAGAAGATCATTCAGGATTTATCAAGAAAAAAAAAAGAGTTAGAAGTGACAATATTAAAGAACTTATGTGTATTGAAGGAACCATTATCGATGGCATCGAGAAAAAAATAGTGATATTGAAATATAGAAGTACAAGACAGAGAAATAGAAGGAGGAAAATAATAGATACTTATACGCCATGTCGACCTTACCTGTATAATATAATAGATGTTGTATGAACCTAGTTGGAATTTATATTACATAAAACATAGCCTTATGGAGTAAAACATCTAGAGTAATAAAAATATATGTAGATATAGTACTTACGTGCTTGATCTCAAAGTGCCATAATTGAATTATCACCACCTCTGTCATTAATATTGTTTGTCGAAGCAGTTTTCTCGAGAGGCTGAGCTTCGGATTTTATGCAACCTTGGAATCTCATTCTAGCATCATCGCCCACCACAACTGCACGCTGGCAAAGAATAAGTGTTAAACAAGATACTACCAATAGTACTACGGGCAGGACAGATGCTATTAAAAATTGTTTTGTTGTTGTTGCCAAATCGAAGCGTGCTACCACTACATTTGGATTATCCAGGGAATAGAAACAAGGAAACCGCGCTCTAGCAAAATGATCAGTACCGTCTTTACCGTAAACTTTTAAAAAGTCTCTGCATTCATCTCTAAGAGTATTAACACAACCTTCTAGATTTATGAGTAATCTACTGTCGTTTGCAATCAATAAATCAGGTTCAGGAGGAGCAACTATTTGTCGTTCGTCTAAAGTAACAGTACTAAAAATACTCAAATAACTAATGTACGTAAAGTTTGTTACATTTGGTAGCATATTATTTGCTAACAATGAACCATTTACGCAATCTGTAGCTTCTAAGCCTCTTGAAGTGTTTAAAATGGAATGACAAGAAGCCATCATAACGTTGTCTTGGGACTCATTCCAAACTTCTTGTCCTGTATCACTGTCGATGCATCTTTGACATTGCGATAAGTATACCTCATCTCCACTAAGCACTATAACATTTTTGTTTCTTGTAACGATATCCGCACCTCCACAATGACGATCACAGTTGTACGGGGTTCGAATTCTTTCACAGGTACCTCGATTACAGCTATACAATCCATTTAAGTCAATGCAAGTAATTTTACCTCTTCTACCAGAACATTTTAAAGGTGGATCGGTATATTTATAAATACATTCAAAAGAATCTGTCAAATCTAGGCACATACCCATTGAGCAGTTGAAGGTTCCTGTCAAATTTTTACATTCATCTGCAATGCATCTACTTCTTTTAGCGTTTTCTTGATCTTTACCATAACAAATTTTCTGCGCTATACTTGTACAGTTCACTAATAATAAATTTGAACCATTTCTTCTAAGGTTAACGTAAATTTGCATACAAGATCCTGACGTTTTGCTTAAACACCATTCCCCACACGAGCCCCAATCACAAGACTCCACTTGAACGGCCCGAGTAGTCGTACACATCACTGGCGTTTCTGAGATTCCTGACTTCATTGCACGAGTTGAAGGAACATAAATTGCGACTGTTAGGTACACTATAGCTACACTGCTGAGAATTAAAGTTAACTGACATAAACAAATCGTTCCGCAAATTTTAGTATTTTGAGGAGGTATAACAAGTTCCTCAACGGGTGTCGGCTTCTTTTTGGGCATATTGAATGACTATTTTGCATACTGCTGGCAACACAATTTGGGGGTGATTATTGTACACCCCATTCAGTTCTTGTGTTTAGTGGAATACTGAACAACGACAAGCAGTCTGTTATTGTCAGATGGTAACGCGCACGTCTTCTGATCAATATTCTACTGCGGCGAGGCTAATAATAGAAGGCGCACTGCCTGCCCGCACATTTTTATTTATCACAACAATAATCTAAAATCTACACTACTAAATTGCATTCATAAATTAATATATAAAAATAATTTAAACGTATATACGGAAAATTATTTAAAAACTACTTACAAAAAGGTGCAAACACAGAAATCTTTGATGAAAATATGTAGAGCGAGGCTTGCAAGTGGCTCCTCTTATGGAGAGCGATATGACAGCGTTATTCCAGTCATCTGGCGGAATCGGCGCCAAAATCGATACCGTAAACACGGACTGCAGTGTTCACAACACAATGCCTGCCGTCGAAGGCACACATTCCACAAAATTTGTTCTGTTTGTGCGGAGTAAGTTTTAAAACTGTAACGTCTGTGATTAATTCTAAGTGTTTCCTTAAACGATTCTAATACTTAACTATATTTTTTAAATTGACTATAAAAATGTAAAAGGTCGCGTCGTGCATTCTTCTACGTACGGAGAATCAAAGATATGTGTTGGTTGAAAAAATGGATCCAAAGGTCATTGGATTTACATACAAGCTCATAGCTGCCAAGTTGCAGAGGACATCCTTGGTGTGAGCTGGCCCAAGCCGCTCGCGCTAGCCTGTGGACGCAAATGTTGGGGTCCAATCTCCAAATTGCCCTTAGATTGCGACCATGGATCAAGAGGAAATCAAACAAACTTGGCAACAAAAATTACTATTTTATACTACAGCTTTCTTCGTGCTGCTTGGTATTTTTAGCTTGTTTTCGTTTTTATTCCTTGTGCCTTTTGTCATCGACCCGGCTTTTACAACGATTTTCATGGAGTTTGACGAAGAACCTGCTTATTGTGTGACCGTAAGAACCGATAGACGCTTAGGTGCATCAAATTGTAGTTGGACGTCTTGTAGAGAAGGTTGCACCAAAGATATTTATACCTGCACACAAATTTTTGTAAATTATAAAGCTACAATCCGTTCCAACATATCGGTATCGTCAACTGTACAGCCAGTGCGTCAACGTGAAACCAGAGCTATCGTAGAAGAATATAATTACGATGACGAATCGACGGGTATAGATGATGACCTCGGTTGGTCCTTCCAGGAAGCAAGACTTTTTCCTAATGTAAAGGGTTGTGGTTATCCCCCAATGCTCAACTGTTCAATTTTTTTAAAAGCCTACCAAGAAATTGGATCCAATTTTTCGTGCTACTATAGTAGAGTAGATCCCAATTTGGTGATTAGCCACCTGGACATGTGGCAAGTTTATATGAACTTGGTGTATGCCATGGCAATACCTATTCCATCATTTATTATATCTGTAGTGTATCTGGCTATAGCTTATTTCAAAATTTATAATGAAGACGAAGAAGAGGTCCCTTTAAAGAAAAATGCTGAAGATATTGATATGGAAGGAGAAAGCGGGCCAGATGGAACACTAATACCCTCAGCTAGTGGGGGCTTAACACCAGCAAGCGAAGCCTTTAGGGAAGACTTAGCCAGTTTCGGACACCACCTTAAAGTTGCTATGGTAGATGATATAAGTCGAGAAAATTTAGCAGATGGGGTCATCAATTCAGTTTCAGTTGGAGGGTAAGCAAAAAGTTTAATTTACAAAACAACTCAAAATTTTGCAAACCACTTATGATATTTATTAAATAAAAGATCACTGGATATTACACAATTAAAAATTTGACTCTAGAAATATTTGTACGTAATAAAATAGGACACTATTGATTTTAGAACTGGAAGTAATAATTCTACTTTAATTTGGTTAATAACATACACTATTAGAATATACTCCATATGTTTGTTTTATCTTATTTTGTTCGTTACTTAATACATAAATGATATTTCTGCTGATCTGAGTATTTGTCGAACTATTTTCTATTTATTTTTCTTAATTGCTCGTGATCTTTCTTAAAATGGCTAATAGAAATTTTATAAAAGGAATTTGTGCTATTACGATTAAGTGAGCCAATCAACGAGAACTCTGCATACTATCGCGTATGTTTTATGATTATAAACGTTAAATGGCATGTTAAGCATTTCTCCTACTTTGTTATTTTATGTTCGTGGCAAGTACTTTATTATTCAATCCAGGATATCAATACTGCTTATCGGTATTTTTTTTATAGTTTTCTGTTATTTTTTGGCCAACCAAATTTTTTTTACATATCGTTCAATGAATGTATATCATAACTTTATATATTTACAAAATTGTCTTATAAAATTTATATTTCTGTTTCGTGGATTTTTCACTCAAGCAAAAATCACTTCCTTACGTTTTGTTCATCCTGCTCCAAGTTTGTATTTTTATGTTATGTAAAGCAGCAAATAGCAGCAAACTTCCAATTAATTTTTAAATTGTATCTTCTTCTTTCGATGCCATATTATGTCTCCCTAACGTCGATGAATTATTCACGATCTTCAGCTAATGGAAATAGTCATGTCCGATCAAGAAATGTTCTTGAGCCATTACATCTGCTTCCTTTAAATTCCTCTGCAGCCTTTTACCTTTATTGATAAAGAAGTATTCTGTACAGGTCTCCTCTAAGAACATGCCCTAGGTATGAAATTTTTCTTATTTTAATAGTTTTCAATAACGCACGAACAGCCTTTGCTCTATTTCACACAGCTTTATTGGTCTGTCCCGCTGTCCGGAGTATTCGGAGGATTCTTTTATTCAACCTTATCTCAAACGCCTCGAGATGATTGATCGTATCAGCCTTCGGAGTTCAGATCTCGGTGCCATGTAACATCACTGACCAAATATAGCATTTGATTATTCTTTGACGTAATTTTAGGTTTAAGCTGTGATTATAGAAGAATGATTTCATTTTTAGAAACGTGTGAGTTACTTCAATTGTGCATTTGATCTCTTTACTTGGGTGTAGTGGGTCTGTAATATAGCATCCCAGATAATTTAAAGTGAGCAACTCTCTTAAAAGTTTTGTTTATGTATCTGTATGTCCAGCTGTATAGGTAAAAACAGAAGAAAACCTCTGATTTTTTTTATATGCATCGATTTGCTTGAAATTTTGACGGTAGTTAAAAAATAGACAAAAGATGCCCTACCCTATGTCAATATGTGCCAATATATGGAAAAAAAATTTTTCAAAGAAACCATGGTAGTCACTAAAATAGTGAATTTTGTTTTTTTCGAAAAGTCGATATTTTTGGAGTTACTCGTGACTGAAAGTTCACAAATTACACGTCAAAAAAGCATATTTTTAAACGTTTGTCCCGAATAACTGCAAATGATTATATTTTATCCAGAAAACTTCTTCTTCTTCTTCTAATGGCGCTACAACACTTTGTGAGTCTTGGCCTGCTTAACAATGTTCTTACATTGTGCCCTGTCGGATACTTTCCTTCTCCACTGCCTGGTTCATGGTTTTAAGATCCCTCTCTACGTCGTCTATCTATCTTTTACATGGCATTCCTCTTGTTTTGTTTCCTTGAGGCTTCCATCTCTGGACTACTTTTACAATTCGATTATCTGGCATTCTTTCTAGGTGACCAAGCCAGTTTAGTCTTTGTGACTTTACAAATCTAACAATATCTGCGCCCTGCATTAGTTCATCCAGCTCGTGATTGATTTTAATTATCCACGAACCATCGCTGCATGGTTGGTCCAAATATCTTCCTTAGTATTTTGCGCTCAAATATTCTCAGTTGATTTTCATCAGTGGTTGAGAGGGTCCACTATGTGACCACATGTGATCCATATGTGACCACTGGTCTAATTACTGTTTTGTAGATTCTAAGCTTAGACTCACGGTTCAGTAAATTACTTTTCATTAAGTCTTACCTTTTCATTATTTCCTCTTTCTCGCTGATAATTTCCCCATTTTTGTCCTTGCAAACTGTTGATCTTGTCATGTATCCTTGGATGTATTGCTTGGTTTCCGTGTAAAATTTTCTAGTCTCTTTTCTGTTATTATAATTTGTAATTTGTTGAATTTTTCTATTCAACATTTTTCTCTTTTTCCTTCTACATATTTTCTTTGCATATATTCAATCGGGAATCCCTTTGTAGACATTTCTGTCTAGCTATATTTTTGCTATTTATTACTTGTTGGCAATCTTGGTCAAACCATTCCTCGTTTCTTTTTCTTGAGGTTTCACCTAATGTTTCCTTTGCCATATTTTGTAATTGCCGTTTGGATGACATTCCATTCTTCTTCAATGTTGTTTTGTTTCTCCTCTTTCATTTAATATTACTTTTAATAAATATTATGGAAAGTATTAAAATCTATCAATAATCCCGAGAAATACGGTATTCCCGTGACTTTATGTCCCACGTAATATCAAGGTTGTAGGTTCATTTTTATATTAGTTATTAAAATTTATAGAAAATTAAAAATTCTTAGGTTTTCTACAGTTTTTAAGTAAAAAATTAGTAAATCAACATTCATAAATCGCCATTTTAATGGTTTATTAAATAATTACTTCCAAATCCATTCAAAATGCTTTACTTTTTACTGGCAGACCACAGTTCTTAAAATGGTGCATTTTTGGCATTTTTAAAAAGTCCATCTAACCCAGGAACATAGAGGTTTTGGTTATTGAGGCCCATAAAACTCAAATAACTTGTCAGATATCTGACCGGGTCAAAGTTCCCAATAATGTTCTTTTTGGCCTTATTTCTCTGGACTACAAACTATATTACCAAACGTGCCAATAGTAATTTAAATAGCATTCAAGATACTAGACTGGAGGATAACATTTATTAAAATACAATATGACATATTTCACAGTCGATACTGATAGCACGATCTTAGTAACTCGATCTGCAGTAGAATAAACCCAATATGGCGTAAATAATCAAAATCAAAACAAAGAATTTTAGCAACGTCCAAAAATCTATTGATTTGATGTAACAAATAGAGCACTGGATGATAGTGGCTTAAAAAACATTTTACATTCCATTACATTCTAGAAATGTTGGGAAAAGCTGCTCTAAAATTATGTAAGTGTATTCACTGAGAAAAGCCAAAAAAATGTGTACGTAATGCCAAAATTTCGAAAAGGAGATTTTTCAAAAACAAATCGAAAAAGGTTATATTTAAGTCGGAAAAATTGGGGATGTATAAATGATAAATTTTCGTGACCTAAACCACCGTATACCAACGTCGTATCTATTTTTATTCCAAATATTTCCTTTTAAATGTTTGTTCTTTCTTTCTTTCTTTCTCCCCTTCCTTTTACCCTATCAGGGTGTCGGATTTGGGCTAGCTATTTTAATTTCCATTTACCCACCTCTTCCATTCTTTTCTGTTTCCTGCCATTATTTTCAATTCCTCGAGTGATTTTTGTTTAAATTTTCCCGCCTCTACTACTTGCTGTATCCATTTTTTTCTTGGTCTGCCTCTTTTTCTTTTTCCGATATTTTTTGCTTCATAAACTTTTTTTGTTATTCTATTGGATTGCATCCTCGTCAGATGCCTATACCAGTTCATTTGTCTCTTTGCTATTTTGTTCATTATCGGTTCCTGGTTGGCCATTCTCCTAATAGTCTCGTTGCTTAATCTATCCCATTTTGTCTTTCCAACTATCCTTCTTAGATGTCTCATCTCCATTGCGTTTATCCTGCTCTTATGTTTTTCCAGAATTGTCCAGTTTTCACTTGCATAGAGCACAGTCGGTATCACTATTGTGTTATATATTTTTATTCTTGTTTCTCGTGTAAGTTCTCTTTTTCCCATTATTGGGGCTAACGCATAGTATAACTTGTTTGATTTCTTTGCTCTATTTGTTATTTCCCAGTCTATTTTTCCATCATTAGTTATTATACTTCCCAGGTATTCGTAAGTTGATACTATTTCCAATTCTGAGTTTTTACATTTTATCTTTATTTGATTATCTTCCTGATCTCCATTGCCGCTGATTATCATTATCTTACTTTTTTTCTCGTTTATCTCCATTTTTAGTTCTTCTATTTGTTCTACCCATATATCCATTAGTTTCTGCATTTTATTCTCGGAATCTGCTATTAGTACTATGTCGTCTGCATACATTAAGGACTCTATTGTTACCGGTTGTAATCTGTGGTAACCTATTATTGTCTGTAGTTGATTGGTTCTGATTCTAGTGTTTCTTAACAATTCGTTCATTACTATTATGAATAGCAAAGGGCTGAGACTATCTCCTTGTTTAATACCTCTCTTCCAATTAAATGCTTCCGATCTTTCCCCTGTTATTTGTACCCTTCCTTTTACCTCTTTGTAAGTACTTTCTATCATTTTTATCAATGCATTAGGTACATTTATTTTTCTCAAGCATTTCCCTATAATATGTCTTTCTGTCGTGTCAAATGCTGCTCTTAGGTCTATGAATGCTAATACTAGTTTTTCGCCCGTATCTATGCTTCTTTCTATTAGGTTTCTAATGATATATATGTTATCATTTGTCTGTCTTCCCGGTCTAAATGCCGTTTGTTCTTCTCCCAATACCATTTCTACTTCTTGTTTCAGTCTCTTTTCTATTATTTTCGTATATATTTTAAAACATACCGATGACAGACATATTGCTCTATAGTTGTCGCAGTTTACATGTTCTCCTTTTTTGTATATTGGCACGATGATATT